AAAAAAACGTATAGATGAAGAACATAGTGAAAAAAAAACAAGCATCTTCAATTACTAGTGTATACCAAGAAAAATAACTACCTGTGTTATCAAGATGTTACGCTCCATCGATCACAGGAGGCACCAATACTTTATTTCAGAGGTAATTTCATTGCTAACGCTTCTGGAACTACTGTGGAGGATAAAAGGTTAAATTAAGAAAAAGAAATACGAGAGTAAAAAATGATGTGCGAATAGCAATCATACAGACTAAAATACGGCGTTCATAAACAAAGAAAAAATTCAGTTCTAAATGCGTCAATAAAACGAGATAGATCCTTTCCTTAATAATTTATTATCATGAAAAGCTTTTATAGTCTACCAGAGATTTTTCACGGTTGATATTTTCTTTAAAATAAATAAGTTTAAGCTCTCCAACAACATTAAATAAAAAAGTTTTTTTCAGGATTAAAATTGTAACTCTACTTTTGACAAATCAAACATGTTCTTGCAATTACAAAATAGTTTAATAATTAATAATAATTTGGAGATGTTTTAACCATTTACTAATTTGATCTTCAAACGAAGAAAATTTACTAAAACTTTATAGTACAATAATATAAAGAGAGAGATCAATTTTTCTAAAACAGTACAGCTCTGTTAAAAACTATTTGAGTATCTCCTGAGGTACCTCATCAATAAGTTCAAAAGCAATCATACTCACGCGCTAAATGATACTAAAATATATAATATGTTTTTTAGCCGTTCACACTTAGTTTTATAATGTATTCATCGATAACGAGCTTGGTTAGCGATTTCTAACTTGTGCATCATTATGTGCATCGATGGAGCGTAACATCTTGATAACACAGGTAGTTATTTTTCTTGGTATACACTAGTAATTGAAGATGCTTGTTTTTTTTCACTATGTTCTTCATCTATACGTTTTTTTCTTCCTCTGTATCCCGTGCTGTTATGAAATGAAAGCTTTACACCTTTATTTTCGTACACCAACGCATGCAAGTCATATGTCAAAATTTTTCTTGTCACAGAGCAAAACGAAACAAATAGCCTTTTGACCTCTAATATGAGGAAAGTTAGTAATGAATTGTTCATTGGAAAAATTCTTCACATGAATGATTCGTTCTATCGACTACAAAAAAACATCTTATAACACAAAAATTGATGGCAATGAAATCGGAACAATTCCTGAAGAGGTCCTCGTATTATTATGTTTTCATTCCAATCTCAAAGAACATATGATAAGAAACCATGAACACTCTCTTCAATACTTTTCTAGAAACGGTGTTCAAAAACACCATTTTTCTTAAACCATCGTTCCTTTTCTTTCAAAGTTTCAGTTTGAGTACCCATCTCTGTTAGAGCTGTTTTCGATAGTAGATGTTTAAAGAAAACTTTCGAACTTAAGTCATTCAATTTTTTTGCCAGAAAACTATCGAGTACTATAAGCTTTAGTGAATATCTAAAAAGTTTTAGTTTCATGAGAACTGAACTACTACAAGTAGTTAGTCGACTCTCAAGATTGTAGGTGTGAATTCAGAGAAGGCTAAAATCCTTACTCACACCCTCTTTAAAATTGTTCACGATAGAAAAAACGTTTCTATTTACTAATCTCATCTGTTCTTTTTTGTATGTAAATGATCCAATATATATCACCAAAGCATGATCATCTATTTGTTCTTCTATCTGATGGACCTATTAACGATCTTAAATCTATTTTAATATTATTAGAAAATCAATCATATTGCGTCATGATCGTTTTTTTACACGTTCAATCGCTGATACACTGAATAAACGTAATTTAAAAGAATTAGCTAATGGAGCTAGTGGTGGTGGTTTGGTAACTGTATTTGAATCCAATTATCGTTCAAGATGGAAAACAAAAGTACTTCAAATATTTGAGCATATTCATCAACCATGTGTAACAAATATGTCTATTTATTGGTATGAAACAATTGATCATCAACAAGAAAAACTTACTAATCAACCACCGGAAATAATTCAATCTTTCTTTTAATAGTATGCGTTCAACTGTATATCGTTTTATACAAAATTGTCATAAAGCAACATTAACAGCAAGTACCAATAATCAAGAATATGTGACAAATGTATATAATAATAAAATAACTGAAAGAAAAGAATTTATTTTACGTTGTTTAACAGTACGATCGAGATTTGATTTAATTTAGTATGAAATATTCAATTTTAAACTCATATACAATTTTTCTAGCTATTGAAGAAAGTGATGAACAAACTTTTGAATCAGGTGTTCAATTCTTTGATGTAATACTTGAAAATGATATTGATTTACTTCTATGTATTACTTGGGATCGTAATCATTCACAAATTGCTATAATTAAAGATAAACTAATTAATTCAACATGTGTATTTGATAGGTCTTCAATAACAAATAAATTAAAGGACCCTGTCGGATTTAGTAACCTAGCTGGAACAAGTATGTTCTGTATATGATTTTGCAGAGAATTTCAAGACACATCGAATGTTATATAGAAAGTTATATTTTCATTAAGTTTTCATGTCGTGATGGTTCATATACTGGGTACAATTCGATAGGAATATATAAAATCTGGAGGCGTTATGATGTTCTATGATAAATATCTGCGACTTTCGTTTGTAAACATAATTCGATACAGTTATGCTTGCTCTTAAATTTTCATAATCGATAAGTTTCACTACAGCTGTGCTATAATTAAAAGGGTCATTTCCCATATACTTAGGCTGTTTATTGACAAAATTATATTTCAGTTTGTTCAGTTCTGTGCCACAAGACAAGTGAGCAACAACGTGAAAGTTTCTCGAAAACGGGTGTGGGTGTGAGTGTGAGTTTGGATGTTGATCTGGGTGTGGATGTCGATGTTGGCGTCGGTATGAATGAAACGAAGAGTAACACCCACACCCACACCCATACCCTGATCAACTTTTCGAAAAATAGTGTTAACTCCAACAATGCCACCCACTCACCCACACCCACACGCCGACACCCTTGTATGCGTATTAGAAGCAATTTATTCAATGATGAAGATATACTTTATAATAGAACGATTATTTTTTCTTTGAAAAGCTTGATAATGTTATCGAAATAAAGAGTAAATGTTGTTCTAATGTTTATTTTTCTTGGACCAATCCGTTAACAGTTGTTGTCGATTTGTTGGAGTCAGTGCAAGTTGGGTATGATATTTGTCACCAACATGTTCGACACTCCAACCTGGCCATTCACGAAATGCATGATAAGCCCAATCCCATCCATTTTCTTCAAAAATGTCAATAACGTCACGTAAATAATTGTAAGTACTATTACCTGGCGCCCAACGAATAGCAGAAAATTCGCCAACATATATATGAACATTATAGTCACGTTGCCAACTGAGAACACGGTTCATATTAAGACGTAATTGGTCTTTATTCCACATTTTACCATTGATAAAACCCGGATATGGAATAGGTGAACCATCATTATAAATATTTTGATGAGTGAATTCCAGAGGTTCGTACATATGAAATGAATAAACAAGTTCATTAAAAGGTAATGGTTCGAAATCGGCTAAAGCTTCAGGTCCTCCCCCCGGAGCTGCTTCTATAATTACTGCGTGTTGTGAATCTATTGCGCGAATACGTTTAACAGTGGCGATTGCTAATTCACGCCAATCCATCAAATTATCGGGAACAATACCTTCAATGGGCTCATTGATAAGGTCATAGCCCCAAATAATTGATTCAGTTTTATAACGTCTCTCTATCTTGTCCCATGTCATAAGAAATGTGTCTTGAAAACGTTTCTCTTTAAATAAATTAAATTCGTATTCAGAGTTAACTCCACCAGGTGGTGTGTGCAAGTCAACAAGAATGCGGATTCCTAATTGACGACAAATGCCTAACATTGAATCAAGATGTTTGAGTGCACTTTCAAGCCAAATATTGTAAGCAGAAATATTACCATTATCTGTTGGACTATGAGGAAATCCATTCCATGTTAATTGCCAACGCACATGGTTTGCATTCGAACTATCAAGATCTAGAAAGTCTTGCTTTCCAAGATTTATTCCAATCATTGCACCTCGTAAGCGTGTAAGATTATGACCTTTATATGGTAGTCCAGCTGGTGGTCGTGGTGGAGGTGGACGTGGTCTACTATATACAGTCACATTGAGATCATCAAACCATACAATACCATGACAAATTTAGTTTTATGGGCATTTGTAAATATGTAAGTAATAAAGAATAAATGCAGCTAGTATTTTAGAGATCTTGAATTTTATTTCATATGAGCTTTCGACCTACTATGTGGTCATC